TTGAAACTATGAAATCAAAACCCCTGAATGGGGGGCGCCATGGCGACTAGAAAATTAGTCGTTATTATGGAAAAAATTTTCCAAAATACATCCCATCAAAATTTCCCTTCTTTCCCATCGCACCTACCATCTTTCGAAATTCTCACAACTCTCACCCTTTCTCCCGGTTTCTCCAGAAATTCTCTTGCTTTCTCTCTGAAAAGATCTCCCGTCGAATGGAGGAGGGGAAGGAGACAAAGCACGTCATTAGTTGGTTGATTTGGTCGAGCCCGTACGACCCCCCTGAAAGGTGGCTTGACCTCCCCTGCTCCCTCATCTGATACCATCAGCTGTCTGTCGACCGGAGGGGGGGGCAAGCGCGAGGAAAATACGGCCCCATCATATCCCTAACCCACCTGCCACTTGTAATTTTCTCAATTTCATACAGTTTTTCCGGAATTTCGCAATTTCTAGAGAACTTTTCCACTTCTTCCCCAAAAGTTTTCCCCAATCCCTTACTTTTTTGCTGTGGGCCGGGAGGGGGGGAGGGGGGGGTACATAGTAGCATATGGAACTGGGAAGCCGGGAAAACAGTAAAAGGTCAACAATCGCAGAACATTTTTCCCAACGCCGCATTTCTCTCAGAAGGCGAATGCGACCCGCCCCACGCTCTCCCAGCAACGAGCAATTACGACCTCCGCCTTATAGCGTCTGTGAAACAAGAAAAATTAATATCGAGAAAAATTTGTCAGCCAATTACCCACCCCTTCCCCCAGCGACCACACGCCCCCTGTTGGGGAATCTCAAATGATGATGTGCCTTGGAAGGAGAGAGGGAGAGAATATATAGCGCACTTGGAATAGGAAAATCTTCTTCTTTCATATTTTTTACCTTCATCTCGCAGGGTAACAAGGTCCACACCTTCACTCTTCCCCCAGCAGCCGAATACGATGCCCTCGCTAGGGATCCCCACTAGGTGCCCATCCCTCTGTAGCAGCTCAAATGTGACCCCGGTGAGGAGTGCTCAACCATGACAAAGAGATATCTAGTACACTGCGTTTCGAAAGTAGTGAAAAACTCTGCAACCCGGACGGGGCGAAAATTGTCCCCGATACCCAATTAGTGACTCCATTCGGACCACAGCTAGGTAGAGCACCCATAAAGAAAGAAAGCTACTCACCTCACACAGATGAGGTTCTCGAAGCCGTGAGCGAGTTCACCATTCACGACATGTTGCGTCTCCATTCCCGCGCAAACCATCTGCCTAATAAAACAGAAATTCGCCAATATGTTGCCAAAACTAACTACGGGCGAAATTCAATGAAGAAACGCGAGAGAACAAACGAGTGAAGATGATGATGATGACGACGAATCGATGGCTATACAATTGACAGAGAAGCACAAACGTGCGCTGCACGCTACTGCTGGTGAGCGTAGAAACAGAACGCTGTAATAGACAGCTGAGCTCTCGAACAATGCGTGGGAAGACAATGAAGGGCCGCTCCATAAACGCCAACATAGGGTCACTATAAAACTCAGGAGAGAGAAGAACAACGTCCACGCTGCGTCTCCATCAACTGGGATGCGCCATGGACTGGACTCCGTCCTGGATTAGTGAGAGCTTTGTGGGGCCAATCCACAACGAAAAATTGAGTATGGGTTTCCTTAGCTTCCCACTGCTTTTTCAACAGTCTGCGTAAGTCTCTCACTTTTTCTCTAGTCTTTCAGTTTTCATAAAATAGTGTGCATACTGGCACGGCGCAGTTCCTCGACCGAGGGGGGGCATTTTGCACTTTCGTTGCTTCACTAGTTCTGGTTTACAAGTCTCACTCTGGTGAAACCTGTGAACTCTTGTGAAGCTGGAGCAAGCTCGTCAAGCCATCATGGTAAAACCTGTCAACTCGAGAAGAGGCTGTCTAGATGGGTCGACATGTTGATAGGGAAGCAGCAAAAGTCCAAAATGCCCTCCCTCCGTCGCCGAACTGCCCCTATAAGCACTATTAAACTTTACAAACCATTTCAGTTTCTTAGAGCCGATGATTTTGTCGAAACTTGGGCGCAATAACTAGCAATAACTAAGTGTGTCAACAAGAAAATGGGGTCTTCACTATCTAGAAGTGGTGATGACTAGTCTTGTACGTTGCGGATGATGGGGCGTGTCAGTGAGGCTCATTTTGGCGCGCAGCCAGTTCGTTATTCACCACTTGTTGAGACGAGTAAGCGACAATAATTGGTGGAAAACGACTGATACGAAATATATGATGTAGTCTTGTCGCTCGCTCGCCTCAAGAACCTATGAAAAACGGGTTTAGGGTCGCATCAAATCCAACCTTCCTCATCTGCAGCGAAGAAGATTGTGGCACTAACAGCATCGGTGGTTAATAGATGTGTCGACCAGTGAACGAATTTATTGCTTGGCCTGTACGAGGTTCGATCAGCCGGGCCGTACAGATGGGAGCACGACTTTCAATCACTGCTCACAGTCAACTGGACGAGCTGAGCAATGTAGAGAAAAAACCTAATTATTATTGATATGGAGTTAAGGTTCTACAGCTTGCATAAAAATGACTGTCTAGAAGCCTAACAACAAGTTTAAAGAACTTCATTAAGAATTTGCCGCCAAAAAATATGAGGGGCAGTTCGGCGATGGGGGGGGGCATCTTGCACATTTGCTGCTTCCCATTAACGTGTCCACCCATCTAGAGGGCCTTCTCTTGAGTGGACAGGTTTCACCACGGTGGTGGCTCGACGAGCCCACTGCAGCTTCACAAGGGTTCACACTAGGGTAAGACTTGTTTAGCAGGAACTAAAGGAGAAGCGAAAGTGCAAAATGCCCCCCGTCGCCGAACTGCGCCAAAATGTGGAGGAAAAGCAACTAACTTTTAGTTGAAAAATTAGGTTTAGCAGATAGGACCAGAACCGGCCTCAAAACTGATAGTGAAGAGGTTAACGTATGCTCCAATGTGTGTCACGGTTCACTCACTAAAACTTGAGGAAGTGTAGAAGGAAGTAGCACCTCTTACCATACTCACGGTCTCCGATTCAATTACGGTTCCGCTCTCGCCCCAAGCCAAATGGAGCCATCCTTCCGAAATCGGCAGTTTGCGGCCATACTCAAGCGGAAGGGTGGAAACGCTAGCCTGCACTGCAGCTAGCCACCGCAATGCATTGTGAAGGCCAAAACGCATTCAAAAGCTGCTTCAATCCTCAACAGGAGCGGGATGCGTGGCGTATCACAAAAAGGGGTTGACAAGAGATAAAAGCTGTTCATGAGTTTTCATGATATAGAGTGCTTCGTTCTCAGGAATCAACTTCAAGGCCGATTCTGATGAAAATAAAAAAAACTTCAATAGCCTCCCTTACCAAAACGCTCCTCTTGCAAGGGATGACCTTTACCTGCAACTACTACTCCTGAGACTGAAAATAATCTCAGGTTACTTATGACGATGTGGTATCCGAACGTTAGATGGGCGGGGAGGGGAATGTCGTTACAGAAGCACCTGCTAGAAATAGGACGTGCCCAAAAGTCGTTGATAAATAAATTTCTCGCTCCTTGTGTTATTTAAAACTAGCAGTTGATTAGTTTACTCGATAGTCCTTTTAGCAAATGGGGAAAACATCGTGCGGGCATTATGGCTGGTTCGCTCCCTAGTACTTGATCGACTGGGAAGTACCTTAGGCCGCGTTCATACTTTGCGACTTGAGCGATTCGAGAGTCGTGTGATTACGACAGACCCCTGCTCCATCGCTGATCGTTGAACCGCTGTAGTTACTCATTCAATTACATTGAAGATAGAACTTCTTCCGAAAGTACAGTGGTTTCACTATTAGCAGCAGAACGCGTTGGCCGCAATCGCGGACAGGAAAACCACCTCACGGATTCCCCGCTAGAAAAGGAAATAAGTATCATGATGTACCAAATGGCATGATCGTAGCTTCGCTGTTGTGTATAGGACTTTCTGGATGGCCGAATAGCAGTCAGGTCGGGAAGGTGAACGTTTTGGTTTTAAGCATCATCAGAACAAGCAATAGAAACAGCAAAAAATACACAAATTCATGGAAAATCCAAAAGGTCCAATAAAGTCGCTAAAAATTCAAAATCCATTCGTCTTTAATGGTTGGGCGCAGAGCAGTTCTGACGCAGGTCGGCAACGGGGGGGGGGGGGGGGGCATTTTGCACTTTCGTTGCTTCACTAGTTCTGGTTTACAAGTCTCACTCTGGTGAAACCTGTGAACTCTTGTGAAGCTGGAGCAAGCTCGTCAAGCCATCACAGCAAAACCTGTCAACTGGAGTAGAGGCTGCCTAGACTGGTCGACATATCGAAGGGAAGTAGCAAAAGTGCCAGTGCCCCCTCCCCCCTCTCGTCGCCGAACTTCCCCCAGAAATCTTCCCCATTCGCATGAAAGATGAACATTCGAACTACTTAGGGACATGAACTTTGAAAAATATCACAACTGAAAACAAAATCCGTCAGAAAATTCCGATACTCACCGCAGGTAGTAATGATGCGAACGAACAACGGCCTCTGGACACATGCAGCCCGACGATCATCCACGATGGTGTAAGGCCAGATGTTCATAAAGCTGCGCACATGTGTGGGAACCTTTACAACAGCATTACTTATCCCACAGGTTTTTATACCATACGCATGACTTCAGTTTACAATCTCTTACTTGAAATTATACAAATTTTCTTTGGCACGATAAATCCCTAAGACGAGTAGGATGAATACGCCTAGCAGACATAATTCGGCGCCCCTGAGCAGGCGCTGCGTGGCGCCTTTTCCAAGGAAGGTACCCTTATAGCGCCCTATCAAGCTGCACATGCCGACCCGGAGGCCCACCACGCCGGCCCGCCCCAAATGTCTGACCGATGGTGATGCTGGTATTTTTGCGAAATATGAAGCAAAGAGATTGATATGAAGCGGCCGCGGTGCTGCATGGCTATATGAGTACAAACATGCAGCCGTATCTACCGTGCAGTTATTGTCACCATGTCAGTGGTAAACTCGTGCGAACTATTACTTTCTGACTCATGTAGAATACAGGTTTTGCAGGTTTTTGACCGTTTTATTTGCTTTTTCGTCATTTTCCTCACTATATAGCAATACTGCTACCATTTGAGACCGAGCTGAAAACTATTGTGCCTTATGAGGGTGTGGCAATTGTGGTGGAACAAAAGAGCAACAGGAAAAAAGAGGAGCGAATCAGGAAATCAATCAGTATGCCATCTTGGAGAAGAAAGAGAAATATCAGATTGGACGGAAAGTCATGTGACGCTTGTGATTGGATTCCGTTCATTTCTTGAACCTGCGGAAAAAAGATTCCTCGGATTCAAGAAAAAAATCAAAACTTCCAAGCTTTGGCCCCCTTTGCCCCGGGTGGGTTTTCTCGAGTTTTCCTTCCCGAGTTTTTCAGTGAACAGATTCACAGGGAGTGGAGGATTTACAGGAGATAAAAGAACATGTTTGATTTTCGTCCAAAATTACCATTCAAAATTCATTTTCGTCCAAAATAACAATTCAAATATTCTTATGTTATTAAATGTCATTAAATAAATAAATAAATACTCGATATTAATAACGTAAAAGCAATTAGGCAAAATAACAAAACAATCAATACAATCTATTCAAAGGAAGCTATCAAAACCTGACCTTCATGGTTTCTTTCCGAGCTTTAGTGGACGGGGCTGAATATTTGAAAAAAAACAACTTTTGCCTGTTTATTTTCTGATTTGTCTTCTCTTATTAGCTCTAGATATTGCTTTGTATCGTATATTTTTCCGCCAAACGCGGAGGAAGAGGAAAAGGGGAATTTATACGGAGAAAAAAATGGAAAGAATGGAAAGAGCATCCGGGAGAAAAAAAAGCGGAGGGGATCTGTGGAGATCTAAACAAACTCAGTTCGAGCCGAGATCGTTCTCGCTGTTCCTGCCCAGCATCGAGGTCTGGATAATGAATATGAGTTTTTAAATAATAGTTTAATAATGGTAGTTTCTATAGCTTCGTGCCCTCGAAGAGGCTTTCTCATTACAAATCCAGAGATTGAATGTATAGGCTTTCAGCATTACAAATCCAGAGATCGAATGTATAGTCAGCAAGGTAACGCAGTCAGAAATCTTCACAACTCCAGACAAACGTAGAGACAAACGCTTGCAGATTCCGAAAACAGATTTGGGATCAGCGCTAGAAAGGGCATCGGAGTGTGTAGGTTCCATCACAAAAGGCCATTTCGGCCTGGAGACT